CACACACACACACACACACACACACACACGCACGCACACACATACACACACACAGTTGAAAAGAGCAGTCAGCGACAACATATGTATTTGACACAGCATATATTCAACATGAACAGACATTCATAGGCAGTATAATCTTCAGTGTATACGTCTTTACAGGTCTACATTATGATTATTATAATGAGAGCACATTATTATTATAGGCAAGCGTGGCTTTTGGGTGGTACAAATTGGCCATATGTGGTCACACGTGCGATGCTGCGGCGCGGGGTGAGGGCTTTATGTGCGGTTGGAGAGAAAGTGCTTCAGTCATCATGCATGGTGAACAGGCTCGGCAACCATCCGTCAGACGACGTCGACTTTTCGTGGTGTTTGCATCGTGTCTGGTAAATATGTTTTGTTTTTTTTTTGTTTGTTTTTTTGGGATGTGTTTACAATGTCATATAGCAACTGGCCTTTGGCAAACGAGGGAATACAAGAGCACTGTGAAGGCCAACGCGGATCTGGTGTTCGTTTTTCTGTGTCTGGCAGGAGGAGGCCACAGTAGCGTGACATATGAATTCCAAAAAGAGGACCATTACCTCGTCACCATCCGCAAATGTGCGCTCTTTCATCTTGGCATGGGACTGTTTATTACAAGCAATCGTTCTTAGGAATTCATTCGTTCTTAAATCCCCAGGAACCAGATCCAAATGCATTTTTCTAAGGAGACTACATCTCTTTTAAAAAATGGATCTGGATCCAGATGATTTTGTGTGCAACCACCCGATGAAAGAAAATGGAGTTAATTCAACACCACCATTTTTCTTCAGTGCAACTTTGAAACCGATCATTCATTCAAAATCAGATTTTCAGGGGGATTTGTGAGCAATGTGGGGAACATTCTTACGTTAAGTTCTCCTTGAATGAAGGTGTGCTCAAAAAACAAACTGACTGCATTGCCATCCTTTCATTTTCAGTGCCACTGCATTTGGTAACCAAGTGGCTGTGCGATTCTGCAGTTCAGATTTGGATACTCATCATGAAATGTTGACAACGGAAAAAACTTTCATTATGTCCTGAACCAAACCATGCCGCTCGGTGTTTTCTCTATTAGCTCTCCTTGCCATTGATGGGCAAGGATCTTTTTAAGCGGGAATTAATGCATCTGAGTGTTTCTATTTTTTTCCCCTCTATTCGTGCTCGCGATTTTTGAGTTTGAGAAAGAGACAAAGGCGGCGATAGTGGCTTTCGCGTGTCATTCATCGGCACCCTTCGGACAAGAATCACGTCGGCATGTGAGTGTGTAAGTAGAGCAGCGTCATGAAACCGCGTGGCGCGAAACGCACAACTCTACGTCTGACGAAATCTTAGATCAGTGCAGCCATGCGCACACGGAAAGCAAATCACACCAAGTCCATGTAGGGCGGATTCAGTCTTTGCAGTGAGTCTTTTATGGATGCCCCCTTGAACGTGCAGCACTCCCATCGAGTCCCCAAAGCAGCAGCAGCAGCAGCAGCAAGGACAGAGGGCCACCAGCCCCCCTCGAGACCCAAATCCCTTAACGCCACCCACCCATGGGTGCTGTCTGTCCCTCCTTATCTCCGCTAGACTGCTCGCTCCTTCTTAGTCAATCCTAGATAAGCTCCTCAGTCTCAACAAATAAGTTAAACATTACAAGAAGGCGCAGAGGGAGGACGACGATTGAGAAGACACAAACAGCATGACAAGGAAGTGGATGCTGGCGCACTTCTCGGATACTCGTCGCGTTCCCATTGGCGAGCGGTAGAAGCTTTGGTCCTATCCAGCTGAAGGAGGAGCTTCATTCGTCCTCAGTGTGCTCTCGAGTCCCGATCGGGAGTGCGAGGCATCTGTTCTGTTCATCAGCAGGACCCGTTTCATCATCGGCAAGTGTGCATCTCCTCCATTTTGCGGCACTGCTTGCACTTGACATAGCAGCACCAGTGGAACTTACAGCTGCACCTGTCCACCACCTCAACCTGTTGCGTCTGAAAACCACGGCCGCAGCACATCAGCTCGCAGCCGTCGATGGCCTTGGAGGTTCGGTTACACTGGCGCCCCACCGTGCCCAGCATACCCGGCGTGCGGGGGTCGTGGTCGCAGAAGTCCGGGCTGGGTTCTAAGTAGACCAGATCTTCATCAGTGTGAGGTTTGAACTGGGAGTTGCGAGGCACCAGGACTTTGGCGGAGCCCATTTTGCGCTGCTCCACCTCGGTGGCCCCATCGAACTTCTCCTTGATGACGTTGCCCACCTTGCGGAAGGGGGGCATCGCTTTCCAGCAGGTCTTCACCTCACATGAGCCCGACACCCCGTGACATTTGCACTCCACGCGCATGTGAGCCAGGATGGCCTGAAAAGATGCCACAAACTTGATGCGCTGGCGGGATGATTTCATTCAAAATAGGAAAGTGCAAACATGCTCACCTGACAGTTTCGCAAATCATGAACCGAATGGAGATCAAATGCAAAAAGTACCCAAGAGTCCATCTTTACAAAAATAATTGTGCTCATTTTGGATTGACGCCAAAGTCCATCCATTTTCCATTTTTTTCATGCCGCTTATGTCCACTAGGGGCGGGAGTGAGCCTGCCCGTCCTGATTACGGATGATGTCATTTTATAGAACTGCGCCGCATCAAACCGAAGGCTCTCTAAAATACTTTAATGTGGTAAAATTATTTCGGCACACCTCTTGTGTTTGACCACGTAAGATAAAACAATAAAACTTTGTTCCGTGATGATTTGACCATATTTTTTTTTCAGCGCAAATTGAAATTAAAACAGACAGATATTGTTCTGAATCTTACAGACTCCACTTCTACAACAAAACTTGGTTTTGACGAGGCTGCTATACAGGAATCTAGATTACTTCCGTAACGACAAAACCCAAGGTTAAAGTGAACAGATGGCGGTGAGAGCCCCGAGTTACCTTCCTGCCGGCCTCATTGTTGTGCAGGTTCATGAGAGCCCGACTGGACGACTGGCCTTTACTCCTCTCCCTCACATCCACAAAGGACTGAGAAAAAGCCACTCCGTAAGCAATGTTGTCACTGCATCCCGACCACTGGAATCCTGTGACAAGACATTAGAATATCATTTAAAAAAAAAAAAAAAAAAGCTAACCTCCCTCCCAAAATACGGTATCAAATGTCACTGAAACGTCTGAGGTGATCCTCATAGTGTTGAACCAGCAAACCATTAGCCACAAGTCAGCAACTTTGCATTTTACTTATAAGAGGTCTCATTGTTTTGCCGTCTGGCTGCAACCGCAGTCTGACACCAGCACAACACTGAGTCAGTGATAATAGGCCCACGATAATCACACAAGCACCACTTTTAGTTAATGCACATTTAAGCAACGGCATTTATTGACTTTTTTTTTCTACTTGACTTGTTATTTTTTTACATAGCTACGGCTTTATCGTGGAAGAATTAAATGACCTATTTTTCCCCGTCGGATGAATGACAAATGATGTCGAACAGATGCTCTCTCCGAATATTGGAAGTATAATCGATTGGATGCGTTGTTGTGCTTGCCTTTTTTTTTTTTTTTTTTAATTATTATTTTGCACACGTGTATTTGCAAGCGGGAGAGAGTGATACACACCCTCTGGACTGACTCCGTGCACGTTGTGGTCACAGCCACATTTTTCGAGCTCTCCACTGCTGCAGGCCCTCGTGACCGCAAACGCCACACTGGCTGCTGAGATGGCATACACAAAGGCAGCCTCGCGGGTGCCTAAAAAACACACACACACACACACACACACACACACACACACACACACACACACGCACACACAAATTGACTCATTTTGCACAGAACGCACAAAAGACAAAGGTGTTGAATAAATGTTGGAATGAATATCGCATCGAATCACTTGTGTCCAAAAAGTGAGTTTGTTCTTAAGGAGTGAAGTGGTGAAGTGGCTGTGCTTACCCTGGGTGACCACTTTGCCAAACACGGGCATGCTCTCGAGAGTGGAGCAATTCCACCGACGGTTACGGAACTGGAACTGACACTCGTCTATCGCCAGCTGAGCACCGCGGCGCACCGCGTCCATCACCTCCACGCTGCGCTTACAGATCTGAACCTGCAGCGGAAGAGATGTGCGTCAGCGAGGTCAGGCGCGGGGTCACGGTATAAGGACCCTCGCAGCGTGACTGGGTCTCTGCAAATACGACGGCGTATTTGCAGAGACCCATATGGCAATTCACCGAGTGGACGCCGGGCAAAGAATGGGAATCTGGAGGGCCGAGAGAAGCATTTTAAAATGGTAGGCGTGAGTTACGATCGTTAGCAGGCTGCCTAAGCGCATCGCATGCATCCGCGTCAGGCTATTGCTCATCATAGCATGCGTGTGTACGTGCTAACGGGTCGATCGCGGGAGGTTGGAAGATCGAAAAAGTAGATCTTTGGTCAAAAAAAAATTGGGCACCCCTGCAATACTGATCATTTTGAAAGGACACCCATTGAACCAAATTAGAAGTTTGTATTTGATCGCCGTGGTGTGACTGAACACCGTTTTGTCTCTTGTGACAACAATAAGCTTGCCGTGCCATCGTTTAATGCACCTGTCTGTGGATGAGGCCTCGTAACCTCTCGCACGTCTCCTCATCCCGGATGCTTCCGACTGACGATAGCTTGGCCAGGTACCTGATGGGAGAGAGAACACAAATGATGGCAATGATTTGACTTTGTATGAACGAGCAACACCGTGTTGGAACACTGCGCTGACGCGAGCGAGTATACAAGCAGCAGAGAACGTATCCATCTCGTCGTGAACATGAAAATACAGCTAGCGCGTGGTGGTTTTAGCTCGCAGTTGGAGTTTAAGCGAAGATTGCGCGACTTTGCTGAAAAGCGCCGTTCACATTCAGTGGGGCAGGCTCAGTTCCCAGGATGTTGTGAGAATGTTTCGGATGAAGGTCTGGTTGGTGAGTACACTGTGAGGAGGGAAAGTGGTTTATCACAGACAGCACCTCGAGGCCAGACAGGTCAGAAAGATATACGGCATACACTCACATGCGCGCGCGTGCGCACACACAATTGTGGACGTGTGAGAAAAATGGCATCGGTCTTGATGCCCTGACCGCCGACAAGCAACCGCAAGCGCCCCAACTCACTTCACTCTCATATCTCCAGGCCCAGCTGCGCTTTACAGAAATAGGCTTTCACCATTTCCGAATTGCGCTTTGAGGTCGGAGCCTTGATTCTGTACTGTCTAAGCCGCCCAGAGGTTCCTGACATGTCATGTTTGATTGCTTGTTGAGTCTGAAACGAGTCCGCTGCTCTTGCGCACGTGTTTAAAAAAAAAAAAAAAAAAAGCTCTTTTATGGGCAGAAGCAACACTTTGAACGATCCATTGGGCTTTTATGGGCAGAAGCAACACTTTGAACGATCCATTTCGTTGACTTTTTTTTTTTTAATCAGGAAACCACAAAAACTTAAAGTACGTCATTTCTTTAACATTTCATTCGAGCTATTATTGATGCGAGTGAAAGTTCTGGAACATGTGACTTTGATTTGTATTTTGTCGCCAAGCTGTACGTGTCCTATTTTGTTGATTAGGCAAGTAAATATGCTAGTTAGAAGTGTAACCAACATGAAAACCACCATCTTGTCCTTGGGTGACAAATAAGCAATTGTGAAAGGAAGAGAAGACGAGCCGTTCCACAAACATTTGTTGAACGCTAATGCAGTCGTTTGGAATGTCCTGAAGAACAACGAACCCCCTGGGCTCACAAAGTCACAGATGTCAAATGGGGAAGGCAAAGAAAACAGCTGCATTTGGTGACTCGTATTTATCTTTTGTTGTCAAAGCCAAACGTTGTCAGTCTACAGCGAAAATAAAACAAAAAAAAAATTGCTTCAGTATTCGAGTTGCTTTTGAGGCGAGCGCACACAAGTGGCCCTCCAACGGACTTAAATGCTTTTATTCTGCCGCAGGAGAGCCTACCAGGTTTTCCTTAAGGTTTCCGAAGCCCCTTTTATGAGTACTGGGTTATGAGTTCCCAGGACCACACGTACCCTCCACAAAGCCCTTGCGTGTCTTTCTCGGTGGAATAGAGTGGCACATCGCCAGAGCTTGGGAAATTCTGCTGAAATGATTGAAAGCACTTTACTGGGATACTCAAAAAAAGCAAGAATTTCAATTTACACAGTCTGTAAAAAAAAAAAAAAAAGTGGTACAGCATCCTGAGATTTAGTTCCATTCGCTAGAACTTCAAATTCAGCTACATTTGTGGTCGTGCAAGACTCACGTGATATATCAACATTTTGCACAAGGCCTCAGAGATGCTCACAACGCAGACCAGCCCGAATGGTTTTACTCTGTGGACGTGTTTGCTTTTTCTTTGGCTTTTTTTGCATTGAATATCTGGGGGGCTATTTTTGTCGACAGGCGTAAAAACTGCCACATCTTCATTTGCTTGCTGGTGCAAGTCTAGTTCCTCATGTTCGAGAATTTGGCAGACCACGTTGCGCCTAGCTGGGGGCTCCAGCGGACCAAGTGCGTTTTCTACAACCCCGACGCACTTGACAATTTGATGACAAGAATTTGGACAAAGTAAAAGCAGCTTTAAACTGTTGGTGGATTTGATCGAGGCGCAGGTAGGCAAATTGAGTTCCACGAACGTGTGTGGTGGTGGATGTCATCATATTTCATTCATAGATATGACAACAGTGAGGCACAATCCCTCTAAATCTTTGTAGGAAATCGATTCATTGAAGCACGATCAAGTTGACTGCGTTCCCTCCCACAACAGCGCAAACGCCCTTTTCTACCCGTGGCCATCTTACAAAATACCAAAAGAAAGAAGACATGAAAATAGAGCCGTGGCCTCAACAAAGAATGAGTGGGTGTCAAGGTCAAAGCAGGGTTGCGGGTTGTTGTCTGGGCCCAAGTGTCGGGAGGCAATGCAGGAACTCAAAACAAAATGTTTTCATTTTCCAAAAATGACACAAAAGGCCTGCGGAATCCAAATATACTCAATTTATAGAAGTCCAAATAACAACACACAAATTAGCCAATCAAAATACGGCGGAACAGAGTTCGAGATGGGAACATGGCAGGGACACCAACAAAAGTAATGAGCCGATAAAGCCTGAGCAGGGAACTTTATTCAAGCAAACTGACAAGACAACAAGAAACAACTGCACAAGACGCCAGTGGCTGAAGGAGCTGATTGGTAGACATATAAGTGACAGAGGGGGAGGGAGGGGTCTGACGGGGACACATGGACAAAAACCTAATGAGACAAACATGAAAAAAAAACACAAGAAACAAGACATAACACAACAAACTAAATATATTGCAAAAAAAAAAAAAAAAAGAGCCACATTGTGTTGCTTTTACACATAAATTACTGTAGGGAATTCCTTTTAGATGAAAACGACAATTTAAGCCTGAATTGGATTTCTAACATTTCTTAACGGGGTTGAAAAAACAAATGAGAGAGCAAGCAGTTTCCCCGTCGTCCTTTCAGAAGTCGAGGAGGTCAAACACCTCCTTTCTTTCCAGGTCCCCTCTCATCTCATCTCATCCTCTCAACAGCGCAGATAATCCTCCTCTCTCGCGGCCTCTTTGAAGGCCGTGCCCGCCCCAACCAGACAATGTCCGTATTCAGCACTCATCACGGCGATAACCTCGCTCCCTGCCACTCCGCAGCATCTCAGCCATATCCGCCAACATACAGTCCACACTCGCAAGTGACCTCGCGGTGACTCACTTGTTGTAGATTGACTTGGAGCGTCTTCATTATGAAGACGGACACAGTTTCCATGATGGCGCTGTGGTATGCGACCGCACCAAGTATGTGTCTTGGTGTCTTTGTCACCAGCATGTCAGTGGGTTGATTTTGACCGCGGAGGACTCCTGACCACGTTAGCATTCGACGCTGCAAAGCGTGAAAAGAATACTCTGTGGAGCAACTTTTCTAATCGGTGACTCTGTTGTGAGGAGCGAATTTCTCATTTTTAAAAGCAAATTTCTAATTTCGAGGAGCATCTTTTTTTTCTGGTTCATCCCGTGGATTTGAAGCAAGGACTTTTTTTTAATGATGCAATAAAACTGGGACAATGTCATGAATGTTGACATGAATTCTCTTTTGTATAATCAACGATTTTTAGTTCTTAAATTCACATGATGTGGAACAGCAACCTGTATTGTCTTGTCTGGAAACATAAATTTCATTTCACTTATTCGCCTGCATTTTTACTGTGCAAAGTTGGATATGCTCGACTTTAACGCGGTTCCAGCCAGACATCTGCAAATTATTTGTTTTCCTAAGCACTTGATTCCAGTGTCTCGCGAATGCGTGTCAATCTTAAATAGCAATTAGCAACGCTTCTCCGTCTTTCCCTGCCATCCCTTCCTTGGTGACAATGGTTCCTGTCTCGATGAGCGATTTAGGTGTGACTCCGTGCTTAACTGGACTTGTAGGCACCCGTCCGGAGCTTGTTGCGAGCTAGCTGGTGCGGCGTCAGTAACGATAATTTTCCTCAACCCAAATGACATCTTTCAATAACGTCGCTCTCATGTAATCGGTTGATTCCCGCAAATGACAATTCAGAGCCAATTAAAGCTGAAAATCTTGTCATCTCTTGTCTCATACTGAATCCATACAAATGAAGGACTCGGCCTCACTCTTCCGATTCTTTTAGAAAGGATGGACATGGGGTTTTTTGGGGGTTTTTTTTTGGTTAAGTCATGGGAAAGGAACAGACAGACCTTGAGCAAGTGTGTTTCATTTTCAGCCCTCCGTCCTGTTATCTGCTCATTCTGCGGCGCGTACCCTTGCTTCCCTTAGACGAGGTTAACAAAACATCTCACCCAACAGGCAGAGGAGTCAACCCATAGATGGGCAGAGCAACACACACGCACACAGCGCCAGCTCACGTCTCTTCCCCCGTCTCGCACTCCCTCTTTCCTGCATAAATCCCACGGGCCTAAACCCAGTGGAGCCGGCGCTGTTGTGCAGGCCGTGACGCCTAATGCAACGCAAACACACAAGCGCTCCGTAGATGCACCTCGGGCCAGGTGGAATGAACCAAGCCTCCCACTTGGAACCCCCCGCAGCCTTGTGAAAATAAGAGATAAATCCAATCAGGGGAGACTTTATGAATATGTTATCTCGGACAGAAAATACTGACAAGAATGAAACTGGTCGCACACCGTGAGAAAACGACTTTGTCAAACCCTGACCCGACTGTTCACCAATAATTGTGCAATAATATTCAGACGGGCAATTCATATGAAACCATTAAGGTCCAAAATATTTCCATGCCTCGATTTTGTAAATAATTTTGCCTGTTCAGGGCCACAGTTGGACTGGATCCTATCTGTGCGGTTTTGGGTGAGATACCACTTTTTGGGTGTAGACTGTGCAGGAATGTAATCGAGGGTTGTTGCTGTTGTGCAAGTTTAGCAGGAGAGACTGCAGTCAAGGTTTTCTTTCTGGGACTTTCTCCCATCTACGCTCAGAATGGTCACAAACCATCCATCCATTTTGGATATTGCTTGTCCTCATTCGGATCCCAGACGAATTTAGGGGAGTGATACGGATTGCTTGCCAATTCATCGCAAGTCGCATTGAGTTAAACAACCTTTTCCAACTACATTCACGGATGAACTCCACGTGTATGATTTGGGAATG